AAAAAAAAAGATGTATGTAAGTAATTTATAAATGCATAGAAAAGAGAAATACACACCAAATTTTGGATGGTGGTTACCTTTGGGGACAGTGTTGGAATAGAAGGAAGGGAAAATGGGGCATCTCCTTTTTAACTTGGTGTATTTCTGTATTATTAGAATCTTCAAATAGGAGAATGTATTCACATGTTTTGTATTTTTAAAAAATCTAAAGAAAGGGCGATCATGAGAACAATGAGAAAAGTAAAAACTTTAACACCAAATTTTTTCTTTTGCATCCAAGTGACCGTTTTTCTGATTAAAATTCATTTCTTTGGAGGAAGGGGAGGGCGAGCAGGCACGGTTTGTACGTTTTCGGCAAGAATGCACTTACCATGGATGCAATGTACCGAAAGAAGGCTCTAGTGTATATTTCCATGTCCGGAGCCCAAACAGCCGGCTGCAGCAGCTAGACCCACGGAGTAGCTAGAATAATCTCTAGCACATTGTGGACCCTCACTCCATGCTGACTGAATCTGAAGCCCCCTTTTGTTTGTGTTTATGAGGGATCCTGCCTGTGCTGAATACTGCCACTTAGTTGAAAGTATAGACTTTTAGAGGCTGAAGGCGCGTTTGAAGTTGGAGCAGTCTCTCCCTTTAATAACAGATGAAACAACGGGCAGAGTTTAAGGGAGTGTTCGAAGTCACACACCATATATGCTACATGTGTATATAGACACGCATGTATCTCCATCTATGTCTATGTCTGAGTATATATTTCAGCTCTGTTGAGGTATAACTGGTAAACTCTACATCCGCCTTGAGCTATCACTGACTGATAGTACCTTGCATTCTCGTTGAATTGTCACAACAATCTAGAAGGTAGCAATCTGTATCCCCTTTCTGTAGGCGGGCTGTGGACAGGCTGCCCCATGACGGGACTGTTGCCGGGCCTGAGAGCTAGACCTAGGCCAGAACAGAGACTGCTCCCTGTCCACCCCGAGGGACTGTGACTGTAAAGGAGTTTCCTTCTGGCAGAAACAGTACCTCTGCGTTAAGCACCACGGTGTGCAGGTCCTGCAATGGCCCTTGTCTTGACCCGGGCAAGCGTGTAAGGCATTTTCCCTTACCTGGGATGGATCCCCGACCAGTGCCCCATCCACCCTGCCTTGTCCTGTGTGATGCTTCGTGCCTGTCGAGCAGTGGGGAGGACATCCCCTTCCTCTGCCCAAGATGCACCTTGTATGGAAGCTTCTCCTCATAAGCTCTGTTCATTGCTGGACTGGAGGGCCTGCCTCTTTCCTCAGCCTTTCCCTGCCCACCACTGACGAAGGTGGGTTTCCAGTGTTGGGGCTTTGCTCTGGGTCTGCGTGGACTAACATGGGGAACTGAAGTGCAAGTTTACCACTTAATGGCAGAGCTGAGGTTTGAAACTACAGCTTCTATAACCTGAAGTCCATGTTCTTTTTTAAAATTTTTTAAAAAATTAATTTCAGAGAGAGGAAGGGAGAGAGAGAGAAACAGAAACATCAATGATGANTAAAAAATTAATTTCAGAGAGAGGAAGGGAGAGAGAAACAGAAACATCAATGATGAGAGAGTCATTGACTGGCTGCCTCCTGCACGCCCCTCACTGAAGATCGAGCCCGCAACCCGGGCAAGTGCCCTGACCGGGAATCCAACCGTGATCTCCTGGATCCTAGGTCGACGCCCAACCACTGAGCCACACTCCCAGGCTGAAGTCCATGTTCTTAACCATTGCACAGTATTGCCAGTTACTGAGAGTGTAGTCTGGGCTGTGCCCTGGGCGGGATAGAGGAGTCGGTAAGATAGAGACCACAGTTCAGGAGCTCACACCCAGCAGGGCGGGCAGCCTTGAGGGCAATGAAGGAGTGTGGTGCAGCAAGCCTGGGGACAGAGGGGAGTGTGCCCACAGCCCAGAGAAGGGCGTGACTGACCCTCACTGGGCCACGGCTGAGGCAGGAGGGAAGTGTCTCTGAAGAGAGGAGGCTTGTGCTTGGACTTGACCATGGTTAGGACCCAGGTCTCCTGACTTCGCTCCAGGCTCCCTACTATAGCACAGAGGGAAGCAGACGCAATCCTAAAGCCAGACCCTCGACGCAGTGCTCTGAGCTCACAGAGGAAACGCACGGTAAGGGTGGCTTGGGCCTAACTCTGAACTAGAAGCAACTTTTGAGGGTGATGACACAACTAATGAGACCCCCCACTCCACATGGGACTCTCACTATGTGTTTTTCATTGAATTCCAACATTCTTAGTGGACAGTGGATTACACACAAAGATAATGTATCAGTAATAACACTAACACAAGTTATTTTACTATTTAACTGTTTTTGAAAACGCACCTACCTTCACTTTGGTTCCGACACTGATTCTTGCCTGCTGGCCCATTGCTAGGAAAGTGATTGAAATCTTGTCTTGTTCTAAGATGCGGACTCCCACATAATGGTTCAGGGCCAGGAAGACGGGTTTAAACGAAACAAAGGGCGAGGAAGCAGAAGCGATGGAACTTGACCATTTCCAGGCCCTTACTCTGTTGCCAGCTTGATCTGAATATTGACCTCCCAAGATATTGATGTATACCCTGGGCAGAAAGGAAATTAATAAACACAAACAGAAACATTGCAGTTCAGCGCTGAAATTGACCCTGACATCTGCTAACCAAGGGGAGTAGCAGTTCGTGCTCGCCACCAGCACACAAATGATGGAAAACCCCAGCTGATCCTAGGAGTGATGAGACTGTGACTGAACTCTGTGCTAACTTGCAGTACTGGGTTGAATTCAAGAGCTACTGATACACCAAGATGGCTCTGATGGTGGAATCAGGATGGTAAAGGGATCTGGAAAATGATGTGCTGGGAAGAAGAATGGAGTGGGAAGGTTTAATCTGGACAAGAAGAAATACAGGGGGCAGGCTAAACCTGAAGGACAGAAGACCAGTGCTTAGATTTTCCCTAGGCCAAAATGAAGACCATGGGGTGAAAATTCTGGTCTTCAGGCCAAACTGACCTCAGTACAAGAGAGCTGTTTTCTAACAGCATCCAGAGCCTGGGAGCCAGAAGTCCTGGGAGGCCTCTCCCAGGGCAGGGTGTGGGCAGGAGAGCTCAGGGGACATCTCTGAGGTCACTGTGGTGGGGAAGAGCTCCGTGACAGGGCAGAAGGTGGAACTTAGACCAGCCAGGCTCCCCAAGCTCTTAGCATCACTAATGCCACATTTTACTACATACATAGAAATTCAGCCCTGCACAGTCTGAGCTCGGGCCTGAATGCTTCCATTCTACTCAGTTATCGCCTTCTCATCCTCTCTCACCTTCTTCCAACTTGGATTGCCATCCCTTTCTTCAGAAGACAGATAGGTAGAGTTCTGGGTGCTTAGAAAGGTGGCTTAATTTGATAATGAATTATTTTTTTAAAACTAGATTAATTGGCCATGAATTTCCACAGTATTGGTTAGTGGCAGTAATCTAATAGTAAAAGTACAAATGAGAAATTGAGGAGATCATCTTATTGTATCTGGAAAGAGGTATACAAATTTATCTAGGTAAATTATTTATTTAATAAACATTCTCTGAGTCTATACCATGTACAGATACATGCTATGTAGTGGCAAAGATTCGGGTGTGCCTTCAAAGATCTTCACCAGCATGGGAGATGGGCTCATTTCACAGGGGTCAGCCAGAAGGGGTTAGGAGCATATCAAGGAATCATGACAGAGGGCCCAGGAGGTGAGATGGTGGGTCGGGGGCTTCGCTGGGAAGGGAAAGGTCCTAGGAACTAAGGACTATCTGGTGACCATTCTTACAGTGCCCCACAAACATGACACGGAGTCGCTGTCGAACCCTGAAGGATAAGTAGAAATTCTCCAGTATAATGGGGATAATGGATTGATGACTGCTCTGGGCTAAAAACACAAACAGTTTTCTGTGTCCTCACTCTCTCAACTTCTGACAGTGGCCAGACTTTGTCAATTATTGGCAGAATTTCTCAAGATGAGACTGTTATACCTTTAAATAATTTAAAGGGAGAGAATATCTCTTTCTGAAAAAGCTCAAAAAGTTTATATTTAAGCTATAACCTAAATTCCACTTGCTCAGGCTAAATGAAATAGCATAGTCAGAGTATATGAGTTACTAGATCAAAACAGGATCAGGATCTTAATTTCTCTAGAGATTTTATTTGTATATTATTGTTGTTAGTTGTGGCTATAGGAAGCTTACTAGTTAAAAATATAGGGTGTCCCAAAAAATGTATACACACTCTTTGAATGATTATAAAGGCAGTGCTTGTTAAAGTACATTACATTTAAAAAATTGAGCTATTAGCTGTTAAAGTGTGTATACTTTTGGGGGGACACCCTGTATATCTCAAACAACAACAACCCAGTGTAGCACCTGCCCGGTGTAACTTATTTCCATAGGTGAGGCCACATAACATCATTAGGGCACAGGCTCTAGAGAGACCATCTGTGTTCATATTCCAGATCCCCGGGGCGACCACATAATTTATATAGAGGTTTTCTAATATTGAAATTGTATACTTCATATTTCCTTTTCATTTATAAAAAGAACATGATGAAAAAAGAAATAAAAAAAGAACATTAAAAAAAGAAAAAAACATTAAAAAAAGAAAAAAGAAGTAAACAAAAAGAAAAAAAGAATATGCTTTGTTTCATAAAGTTGCCCAGGATTTTTCCAGAGAAGTGGATGGAAAGGCATAAATCAAATAGTTCTCTGATTTGAACATTCCTATCTAAAGACCGTTAACTTAAATAAATGTTCTTAAAGCCATTTCTATCATTTAAAAGAAAAAATAAAACTTCTAGTTATTAGATGAATAAATTCTGGGGATCTAATGGACAGCATAATAATTATACTTAATAATACTATGTTACATATGTGAAAGCTGGTAACAAAGTATATCTTAAGTGTTCTCAACACATACCAAAAAGGTAATTAGGTGGCTTGATGCAGGTATTAACTAATGGTGGTAATCATCATTCTGCAATTTTTAAGAGTATCAAATCAGTGTAGTTGTACACCTTTAACTTAAACAATGTTGTATGTCAATTATATCTCAATACAGTTGGAAAAAATAAAAGTAAAAATAAAATTTCACAAACCCAAAAAGCACAATGGCAGCAGGGGGAAACTAGAAGCCTACCAGACATTTCCGTTGGGATGATAGCAGGAACTTCTGCCCGCAGAGTCCAGCACTGCCAGGATGGCAGGGTTAGTGGGTATGTCCTCTTGGACGATACAAGTGAAACCACTGATCTTGTTGGGCACTCGGATGATGGCAAGGTTTCCAGATGGGTAGCTAAGATCAGATAAGGTCATTGTTCTAATGGCCCTTGGCTATTCTGGGAATAAATTCAATTTATGAGAACCCTTTGAAACTCTAAAGCATTAAAACAGGAGGTACTGTTTTTATTTTTAAATGTTATGCTTTTTATGTAGATCAAATATACTTATAAGACACACAAATACTTCAACATAACATTAGAAAATGGAATCTGGCATCATGCAAAAGGGATTATGTACGAGACAAAATGGAGCTTTTCCCAGTAATGCAAGGTTGGTTTAACATTTCAAAATCAATTAATGAAATATACTATATTGATAGAATAAAAAACAAATAGGAAAACCTAATAAAGACTGAGTGTTTTCCCTTTAAGATCAGGAACTAAACAAAAATATCCACTCTCCCCACTTCTATTCAGCATTGCACTGGAGGCTCTAGTCAGGGAAATTTTATCAAAAAGAAGAAATGGAAGGCATCCAGATTGGAAATGGAAGAAGGAAAACGATCCCTATTTTCAGAAGACAGGCTCTTATATAGAGAAAATCCTAAGGAGTTTACAAAACAATATAGTAGAACTAACAAATGAATTCAGCAGGGTTGTCAGCTACAAGGTCAATATATAAAAATAAATTGTATCTCTTTACTCTAGCAGTGAACATTCTGAAAGTGAAATTAAGAAAATAATTCCAGCCCAGCCGGGTGTGGCTCAGCGGTTGAGCATCGACCTAGGATCCAGGAGATCGGGGTTTGATTCCCGGTCAGGGCACATGCCCAGGTTGTGGGCTGCAGCCAATCAATGACTCTCTCATCATTGATGTTTCTATCTCTCTCTCTCCCTCTCCCTTCCTCTCTCTGAAATCAATAAAGATATTTTAAAAAAACCAAAAAAACAAAATAATTCCATTTATAATAGCACCAAAAGGAATAAAATATACTGAGGATAACTCACTAACTGTTAATACTTAGTTCTATCCAAACTGACCAGAAGTCCAGAGATGAAGTAAACACAAGATTGATACTGAACCATTTTGAAAATCAGCCACAGTTCTCAAGAGTTAAGAATTACAGCCAGGTTGGCCGGGCGTGGCTCAGCGGTTGAGCGTCAACCTGGGATCCAGGCGATCGGGGTTTGATTCCCGGTCAGGGCACATGCCCGGGTTGCGGGCTCCATCCCCAGTCGGGGGCGTGCAGGAGGCAGCCGATCAATGACTCTCTCATCATTGATGTTTCTCTCTCCCTCTCCCTCTCCTTTCCTCTCTGAAATCAATAAAGATATATTAAAAAAAAGAAGAAAAAAAAAAGAATTACAGCCAGGCCTGGCTGGGCGTGGCTCAGCGGCTGAATGTGGACCTGGGATCCAGGCGATTGGGGTTCGATTCCTGGTCAGGGCACATGCCTGGGTTGCGGGCTCGATCAGTGACTCTCTCATCACTGATGTTTCTATCTCTCTCTCCCTCCCTCTCCCTTCCTCTCTCTGAAATCAATAAAGATAAAAAAAAGAATTATAGCCAGGGCATGGAAATTATTTAAAATTTATTGGTACAATTAAAACAAAACCTACACACTTTCTCATAGGGTCTAGGGAACTAAACCTTCATCACACTTCCTGTGCCATGAAAGTCGTTTTCTGGTTAATTATTGAGCTTTGACTAAACATTTAGAAAACTACTAAAAATGACTTTCTCCTTCAAAGTGAGGCCCTGATTCACCAAAAAGTCCTCCCCATTTCATAGGGATTTTTGTTTGTTCTTGCTTTCCTCAAGGTATTAAATAGCCTTTATGTCAAAATACTGAATGGCCTGGCCATCGGGCAGAATTTCAAGTGATCAATAACGTACTTCCCATAAAATGGATATTGAATTTTTGTATTAAAAAATAACATGCTGCTCATGTGTAAACTTCTGCACATTTTCTGGAGGCAAAAATCTATCAAAGCTTTAAAAATGCCCCAACTTCTTACCCAGAATTTCTACTAGTAGGTATTTAGTTCAAGAAAATAAGTGATAAGTATGAAAGGAAATATGCACAAATCTGCTCATTTAGCTATTGTATATCATAGCAAAAAATTGTGAAAACACCTTTGTTTAGCAATAGGGGACAGGTTAAAAGAATTATAGTACATTTCTATGATGAAATACCATGTAGTTATAAAATGATGTTATATCTCTATATTTATTGCACATTATATACTCATAACATTATCTATTGTACAATATATGTAAAATATGAATAGTTGAAGAACTGATTTAAAAAATTACATGCCTATAGAAAAAAGTAAGAAATGTTATATGAAAAGATGTTAACAGCTTTTCTGTGGTAGAATTTGGTGGTAATATCTATTTAAAAAATATATTTCTATGAATTTTTTCTTTATGTCTTTTTGTGAAGAAATAAACCTAATAAAAGTAACTTGTTTCTAGAAAGGATACAATATTTGCATTGTCCCATCTGGAAATGAAGTCAGAAACTTGCCCCCATGTTTATAGTGCTTCTCCAAGAGCTCATTCCTCACGATCTGTGACACACAGAAGATAAAAGGACACTTAACTGTTAATTGTTTCCTATAGAATGCATTAAGTATGACAACAGACATCCTTTGCTCGCTAGACAGTGATACAAATTATTTCTTAATTTAAATTTTTGGAGACAGGGAAAAATCCTTAAAAATCCTTTAATGATTTAGGGAAAATCATTAAAGATGGTCCCTAATCCCTGCAGATAATTTGATAAAACCTTCTGGCAAAAATCTGACATTACATATCTGTTTAAAGGGTTTTTGTTTTACTTTATACACAAATTACTATAAAAACAAAACAGAAGATAAAAACCAGCCCTACAACAATGAAAATATTCTATATCCTGATTGTATTGGTAGTTACATAACTCAAAATTCATAGAGTTGTACATCCAAAAGAGGCAAATTTTACTCTATGTAAGTTATACTTCAGTAAACTGACTTTAAGTCCCAGTGGCAGCTGCAGTACCTGCTGTCTTTCAAGGGTGATCTTGAAGTTCATCTGAGCAAAGCACTAGCGGAGCGAGCTCCTACTTCACCTCCGAGTTTAGCTCTTTCATAGATAATGCTTCATAGGGAGATGAATTTGTCCCCAACAATGTTTTATAAGAAAATAAAGATTCAATTTGATTCTATTTATTTCTAATTTTGAATTGTGATAAAATGGATACAAGAATTCCTAAGGCCAAACAGTGGAGCAATCTAAATTTTTATGTAAATGTTGCCATTTATTTTAGAAGATAATACATTTTTCACTTTTAAAAACTATGAAATATGAAATACATTCAGGTAATTGCTAAAACATGCTATTTTCTGAATCAGTAATTGTAAACACCCATGTTATCACCACCCGAGTCAAGAAAGAGAACAGTGCTGAGAGTCTAGAGGCCCTCAGTGTCTCTCCCAAAGCCAATATCCTTCCTACACACAACCACGAGTCTGATTTCAAAGTAGCTTCTCTGTACTTTCATAATTTCTAGACAGTATAGTTTAATTTTTCCCATTTTGAATTCTACACAAATGGAATCATACACTATGTATTTTTAATATTTTATTTTTCTGTCAACATTTATACATGTCCCAGTATGTAGCTGTAGCCCAATAAGTTTTATTTGTATATTATAAACAATACTACGAGCATTCTCATGCATGTATACTGGTACCCAGTTCCTCTCGGATACTACACCCAGAGGTGGGACTGCTAAATCCCAAGATGCCTGTATTCCAGTTTCCTAGATGATGCCAAAATAATTTCCATGTTGTACCAACTTACATTCCCACTAGAGGCAAATGATAGCAACTGTTGCTCTATATTTTTTCCAACACAGTATTATCAGGCTTTACTTTTTTTTTTTTTGCCAATATGATAAGTATGTAGGTATGTACTGATCCCTAATTGTATTTTAATTTTCCTTTCCCAGGTTACTAATGGGGTTGAGCTCCTTCACATATGTTTATAGGTCATTTGAATTTTCTCCTTTGAGAAGTATGCAAGTTTTTTTGGCTCACTTTCTATTATCTTTTTAGAAAATAGATTGTTTATTATCTATTGACTTTTTAAATGTCTTTTTACATTTAGCACGTAAGCGTTTGTATGTCATATGTGCTGCAAATATCTACCTTCTCTTGGCTTGTCTTTCACAACTTTAATTTTTTTTAAATGTCTTTATTGATTTCAGAGAGAAGGGAGAGGGAGAGAGAGAGATAGAAACATCAATGATGAGAGGGTATTGATCGGCTGCCTCCCGAATGCCCTCCACTGGGGATGGAGCCCGCAACCCGGGCATGTGCCCTGACTGGGAATCGAACCTCAATCTCCTGGATCCTAGGTCAATGCTCAACTGCTGAGCCACGCTGGCCTGGACACAACTTAAATTTTTTTTAAAGATTTTTTATTGATATTTAGAGAGAAAGGAAGGGAGAGGGAGAGAGAGAGAGACACCAATGTGAGAGCTCAACATTGATCTGCTGCCTCATACATGCCCCCTACTGGGGATCAAGCCCACAACCCGGGCATATGCTCTGACCCAGAATCAAACCAGCAACTTTTCAGTGCAAAGGATGACGGCCGACCAACTGAACCACACTTGCCAGGGCCACAACTTTAATTTTAATTTATCAAATCTTTATGGTTACTGCTTTTTTCATCAGTTAGTAAATCTTTCCCTAACCTGAGGTAATACGGCTATTTTCCTATATTAAGGAAATCTTTGTAGTTTTGCATTTCACACTTAGGTCTTTAATCCACTTGGAATTGATTTTTACATATGCTGTGATGTAGTGGTTCCAATTTCACTGAAATAATTTGGATACCTGACTGTCCCAGCACTATGTATTGGACAGGCTTTCCTCTCTCCATTACTGTCACTCATCAGCTGTTTACACACGTGTGTCTGCTTCTGGACTCTAATCTGTTTGCCCTGCCCTAGCACTGCACCATCTTAATTCCTCTGTTTTGTAAGAGGTTTTACTAACTGGTAAAGCACTTTTCCTTCCTCCCAGCCTGTTCTCAGGAATGTCTTGGCTATTCTACATTCTTTATATTTCCATGTAAACTTTAGAATCAACCTGTCAACACCTCCCTTTCCCCAGCTTACACAACTATACCATCCTGTAGGAATTTGAAATTTGGGAAGAATGTCATATTTAAAATATTTAATCTGCCATTCCATGAACAAACTTGTTAAATGGGTTGTTCAAGTATCCTATTGTATTATTGCTCCTTTTTGGTCTAATAGTCCTCTCACTTATGAGAGAGGTAGGTTAAAGTATTCCATTATGATTATGGATTGAAAATATTTTCTTTTGTCTCTATGAAATTTTCTTTTATATATTTTGAGGCTATGTTAATATGGGAAAATATATTATAATGTTCTGTATTTGTGGTGGACTAAAACTTTTCTCATTATTAAGTGATCCTCTTTATCTCTAGTAATGCACTTTAGTATTTTCATGATCTATCATTTTTACTTATTTATATTTAATCTTTTTGTATCCTTATATTTTAGATGTGTCTCTTATAAACAGTATATGGTTGACATTTTATTTTTTTAGTGGACAGCTTTTGTCTATTAATGAGTATTTAGTCTATTTACATATAATTACTGACATTCCTTGATGTTTTGCACTTGTCCCTCGTTACCTGTTTTCCTTTTCTCTTATCCTTTCTTGTCCTCTGGGGGTATTTAAAATAAATTGTTCTATTTTTTTGTTCTACCACTACTAGCTGGGAGATTGTACTCTCTGCTTCTGTTATTTTTCTGGCTACTCTAGACATTTCAGTAAGCAAACTTAATTTATCAAAATCTGAAGTTAAGTTATGTATTTGCCACTGCAAAGTGTCTAGGATTTACAAAAAATAAAAACAAAAAAAATCACCTTGCTTGGGATTCGTTGGGCTTCTTAAATCTGTGGGTCAGTCACTTTTCTCAGTTCTGGAAAACTATCCATTATCTCTTCAAATACTACCTCTGCCTGATTATCTTTCTGTTCTCCTTTTTATTTTTTATTTTCAAACCTGTTTTGTCACTTTATAGTTTTCTGTTCCCTCCAAATATCTTGAAGCCAATCTTTTGTTTTCATAAAAATGGTTAGATTACTTCAGTTTCCAAAGTCTTTGCAGATCTTTTCTTATTAGATGTTATTTCTCTGGATTTTTTATTGTGGTGTTGTTTCCTAATGTTCTTGATTCTTTTACATATGTACTGGTAATTGAACTTGAAAGATAATTTATAGGAGTAATTTGAGGGCTGGATGAGTAATCTTCCCCCAGACAGTATTTGTATTTGATTTTGTCAGGCTCTTCAGTTCACTGCCTCCCCTAAAGTTCTATGTCACCCAAGAGAAACAAACCTGGTCTCAGTAATTTAACTTCTATGAATCTATTCTGAGAAATTACACTTATATAAAAAATATATTTTTAAAAATTCTCACAGAAGATATTCCCTCCATTGCTTTTCAGAGAGAGTGGAAGGGGGAGAGAGAGAGAGAGACAGAGAGAGAAACACCAATATGAGAGAGACTGAGCCTGCAACTGAGGCATGTGCCCTTGACTGGAATTGAACATGAGACCCTTCAGACCACGGGTTGACCTTCTAGCCACTGAACTAAACTGGCGGCCAGAGCTAAAAAATAAATTTATACACAAAGATATTCAGAGCTATGTTACTTAGTATAGCAAAAAATTGTTAATAATCTATGTCCAATAAGAGGGGAATGGTTAGATAAACTATATGAAAAAGCACAAAGATATTAAAATAATGTCAATATAAGCTGCACAACATCATGGTAAATTTTTTTTATAATTGAGTTTAAAAAGAGGTAAAAATTACATATATAATGTAAGGACAGGAAAAGGGCATCTCTTTTTTCTTGCTGTGGCCTTCCACAATTTATGAGAAGCACCTGGTAATTAAGCCCCAAGATTGATGTCCTCTCTGTTCAAACTGCGGGACAAGGTAAGCTACCCTCAAGGCTACATTCCTGCATCCCCCTTCTCCCTGCTGTTTGCACAGCTCAGGGATAATTCGCACCAAGCAGTCTCTAGTTAGTAGAAAGTTCCCTTCCTCCTCCCCTTCAAACTGGCCTTTTTTGAACTCCTCATAACTTTTGCTCAAAGCATGTTTTACAGGCCTGGGAAAAATACTGATAAGACCCCTCCCTAGGACATCTGCTGGACTGTCTCCTGGAAAGCAAACAAACTGTAACTTTTCAAGACAACCTCCCTGCGAACTGCTCAACTTCAAGACAAGCATCACCTCCTTGTTGCCTAGCAACAGCACCTGCCTAAAAGAGCAGGCTGCCCTTTGTTTCTGGTCCTTGTATTGATCAGCAATGCACGGGCCCTTTCCTCTCTTGGAAAGTAAAATAAATTTCCTCTCTGCATCTCTTCTCTTAGTTGTGAATTCTTTCACAGCCCGCATCACTGGCCAAACCCTAACATGCAATATAAGTACAAGGATGTTAACAAAAATCCAATCATAAAAAAGTCTAGAATGGCATTATCTAATAGAACTTTTGGTGACCATAAAAATGTTCCATATCTGCACTGCAACTTGGTAGCCATTAGTTACACACAGCTTTTTAATACTTGACATGTGGCTAATGTGACTAAAGAATTACATTTTAAATTATATTCAATTTTAATTATTTTAAATTTAGCCGTATGTAATAGTTGCTACTATTTTGGCTACTGCAGGTCTAGAAAACATTGAAATATTAATAATAATTTTTAGGAAGTGGTTGAGACTTTTTTTTTTAGTTTTCAAAGGGTTCCAAATGTTCCTTAATGTACAATTAACACATTTTAAAGTAGAAGGGCTTTAACCAAACTAGTCCCCCATAAATCATATGTAAAGTATTGTTGTAAAGTCTAGAAGTTAAAAGGCCAAGTCTATACCAATTCTNGGTGACTCCCCCCCCCTTTTTTTTTAGTTTTCAAAGGGTTCCAAATGTTCCTTAATGTACAATTAACACATTTTAAAGTAGAAGGGCTTTAACCAAACTAGTCCCCCATAAATCATATGTAAAGTATTGTTGTAAAGTCTAGAAGTTAAAAGGCCAAGTCTATACCAATTCTTTTTGACATATAGTTAAATATGCCATGTACCCAAGCTGCCACATTCATCATGACAGCTTTTAAAATTTAGGTAAAACTAATTTTTAAAGAGTAGCAAGTAAAAAAATTACAAGCTAATTACCTTCCCACATGCTGTCCTAGAATCACAACAAGCAATGGATATGTGTCTTTTGTCTAATATAAAATCAAATAGTCTGTCATCAGGTTTCTTTTTTTCTGAAATATCCACGGAAAGTTGATAAGAAATTGTTTTATAGTGCTTTGAATCTAATGGGAAAAGAAGCACATGAAAGTACATATATGTTTTAAATTTTCCAAAACTTCTATTCTAAAGTGAAATTGTAAACTCTATTGCAAATGCATTGATTTGTCAGGCATTTTTTAATGGAATAAAAATGAAGACCTTCACTAAATTAAAGTGAGGAACCTTCTTTGGTTAAAAAAGAAAAAGATACCATTCCTTTGTTAAAAGAAGAAAAGCGATCGGCTAAGTGCAATTTTCTGGACTTAGATTTAGTAGGAAACAGTTGACTATCAAGGAACTTTATACTAGAGATTTAGTTAAAAACAAAAACAAACACATATCGTCTCTCAATGTCTTCTCAATAGCACTGAGTGGTAGAGGAGGAGCCTGATGCTCAGAAAGATTAAGAAATTTACCCCAAAGCAGACAGTCTATGAGTAGGAAAGAAAAGATATAAATCCAGAACTTGTGGTTCTAAAATGAGTACTTCTTCAACTGTTCCAGCGCTATAATTAGACTGGCTGGCTGACTGCTGGGACCCGTGTGAAGAAAGAAATCTGATTTCTTTTTGACAGACTTTCTATACCTCAAAATGGAATGTGTGCTTAATAAAACAAGAGACAATGAACTCAAGAGCTCTTTGCAGTTATCTGTAAAGTGCTCAATAGATGTTGCTAATTCATTTCAATCACTAACAGTGAGATGAAGACTAAAAACTTCCAAAGCTGGACGACTTGAAACTGGATTTTCTGAGCTGTTCTGACTAATGCATCAACAAAAATGAAAACTTGAAGTAGTGTTTTTTAAATATGCCAGTGTTAGCTCTTGGTCAAACATGTGAGGTTTCTGATGTACACCTGATCTGTAACATGAGCACTGATGAACTCACCTTCTTCAGAGAAACTAGTATGTTCATTTCTTTTTATTGCCCAATGTCTGGCCATTTGTTGCTCCTGTTTTCTACAAAACAAAAATAAAAATGATGCATAAATCTGAAATGTTTTAAGCTTTAAAAAGTATATGACTAATTTTAACTGTTTAAATGTCATCCCCTGTGATTTTTACCTGTTATTACTTGTGAATCTAGTTATTTAATCAAAACACATGGATCTCCACTCTAGTGGACAAATTTCTCCAATATAGGAATTCTGAATCACCCTGAGATTCTGGGTTGGTAAATTTCTACCTTAAATCAGTGAGCTCATTGAGTTTCTGGGAGTTTCTGAATCTCATAACATCCACAGGAATTGCAATAGGTTTGTTTGGCCAATTTTATTTCTTCATTGGGAATTTATCTTCGCAATTATATACTTTGAAAAACAAGGTTCATTTTACGAAGAGCTCTCTAAGTGAACCTGAGTTTCTTTTCTTTTTAATCTCTTTATTTTATTTTTGCCATCACCATTTATCCCTCCCACACCCTTCTCCACCTCCAGCCCCCCC